GGTGCAGAGGACCCACACTCAGTTCCTCATGCTTTCCTGAATAAGTCATTTCCCCATTGCTGGCATGCACCACCACACCTATCCTATTACAGCCTCCTCAGTGCTGGGATTACATGCACGAAAGCACCATACTCAGTTCTCAAGTGTCGGGATTGTTATCTTTTCAGAGAAACAGCTTTTGTTCTTATTTTTCTCACATAGCTCATACAGTGTGTCTGTTCCACTCCTTCACTTCAGCCTGAGGTGAAGCTAAGGTGCATTTCTTAGGAGAAGCCACAAGGCACTAGAACTCCAGAATATATACTCGAGGCCCTAGCATACTCCCTCAAAAAGGCAGGTATTTTTCTAAATAACAGAACCTGCAGGAGAATCAGTAGACCTGCCCTAGCAGAAACACCAAGTGAAGCCACTCAACCTGAATTGAGAGGACACCATACAGTGGCTAGGTGAAGACAGGAAGGAAGATTTTTTATAAAGTAGCTAGAGTTACAGGGATGAGAAAGACCCATGCTACCACTTTGGTTGCCAAGTCTACAATGAAAAAGATCAATCAATGCATGCTGGGTGGTGGTGCACGACTTTAGTCCAAGCACTTGGGAGGTGGAGGCAGGCAGATCTCCGGTGAGTTCAAGGCTAGCCTTGAACACTTGGTCTACGAAGTGAGTTCCAGGACAGCCAGGACTACACAGAAACCCTGTCTCAGAATGCCACAAAATAAAATAAAATAAAATCAGTGCATAAGAACGTAAGAACTGACTATACATCTGGGTCAGCGAGCAGCCAGTTTGAGCATGTGATCAGAAACATGAATTATAAAGGGCCTGAGGGAGCTGTATAGCAGTCCTTTCTATATGGGATTGTGGTTAACTTAATTTTTTTTAAATTTTTCCTTTTTGTTGTTGTTGTTTTGTTTTTTGAGACAGGGTTTCTCTGTGTAGTTTTGGTGCCTGTCCTGGGTCTCGCTCTGTAGACCAGGCTGGCCTCGAACTCACAGAGATCCTCCTGGCTCTGCCTCCCGAGTGCTGGGATTAAAGGCGTATGCTACTAAATCCCGTATCAATTTAGAACTCTAAATCCCCATGGTAGTCATATTAAATAACGTAAAAATCTGAATTGAAAATTAAAAGTCTCAGCCAGGTGTGGGGGCGCACACCCTTTGATGCCAGCACTAAGGAGGCAAAGGCAAGTGGACCTCTGAGTTCTAGGACAGCCACGGCTACACAAAGAAAACCTGCCTTAAAAAAAAGGAAAAGGGGCTGGAGAGATGGCTCAGTGGTTAAGAGCACCGACTGCTCTTCCAGAGGTCCTGAGTTCAATTCCCAGCAACCACATGGTGGCTCACAACCACTTGTAATGAGATCTGGTGCCCTCTTCTGGCCTGCAGGGACACATGCAGGCATACTGTATACATAATAAATAAATAAATGTTTAAAAAAAAAAGGAAAAGAAAAAGAAAATCTCAGTGGTAATAACAAAAAAAAATGGCAGTATTTTCAAAAGAGAATCAGGGGCTGGCTAGAGAGATGGCTCAGTGGTTAAGATATTTGCTGCTCTTGCAGAGGACTTGGGTTTGGTTTTCAGCACCTACATGGTAGCTCACAACTGCCTGTAACTCCAGTTCAAGGGGATCTGACACCCTCTTCTGATCTCCACAGGCACTGCATGTGGTACATAGACATGTATACAAACAGAACACTGATACATAAAATAAAAATTAAAAAAAATTTTTTTCAAGACAATGTTTCTCTGCATAGCCCTGGCTATCCTAGAACTCACTTTGTAGACCAGGCTATCCTGGAACTCACAGAGATCTGCCTTTGCCTCCTGAGTGCTGGGGTTAAAGGCATGCACTACCACCCAGCAAATAAATAAATCTTTAAAAAAAAAAAAAAAGACAAAGAATCAGAACTTGTCACTGAAAGTTAGGCCCAGTACTAGGTGTAGCTCAGTTTAGAAAGCACTCATGTAGCCAGGAGGCAGAGTTTGAGGCCAGCCTGGTCTACAGAGCATGTTCCAGGACAGCCAGGGCTACACAGAAAAACTGTGTCTCCAAAACAAAACCAAACCTCAAACAACAACAACAAAAAAGCAAACAAGCATTCACATAGCATGTGTGGACCCTGGGTTACATGTCCAGTAGGCGGGAGGAATTAGGCACAGTAGTATGCACCCACAGTCCCAGGCACTTGAGGCTGAGGCAGGAGGATTACTGTAACACAGGAGTTTGAGACCAGTCTGGGTAACAGGACAGCTCCTGTCTGCTTACATGTCTGTCATCTTGCTTGATTACTTTAAATGTAAATGGATTAAACCCTCCATTCAATAGGCAGAGAGTGGCAGGGTTTTTGTTTTGTTCTGACACTCTTGCTGGCCCGGACCTCAGAAATCCGCTTGCCTCTGCCTCCCGAGTGCTGGGATTGAAGGTTTGCACTACAATGCCCAGCTCAGAGACTAGCAGTTCTTTAGAAAGGACATCATTCTATGTTGATACAGTGGGCTTAGCAAGATGTAACAAGCATGTATTCCAATGTCAGAGTTCCAAAACCTGTAAGCAGACACTCTACTACTGAGTCTCACCAGCCCCCTCCTATTTTAAGGATGGTTTTCTTGGATATGAAATTCCCCATTGGCTTATGGATTTTTTTTTTTTTTTTTTTTTTTTTTTGGTTTTTCGAGACAGGGTTTCTCTGTGTAGCTTTGCGCCTTTCCTGGAACTCGCTTTGGAGACCAGGCTGGCCTCGAACTCACAGAGATCCGCCTGGCTCTGCCTCCCGAGTGCTGGGATTAAAGGCGTGCGCCACCACCGCCCGGCTCGGCTTATGGATTTTTTAAAAACAATTTATGAGCATAGATCCACCTGCCTCTGCCTCCAGGGTGCTGGGACCAAAGGTGTGCGTCACCATACATAGCCTGGCTTATGGATTTTTTTAAATGCTCATTTGAATAAACATGTATTACTGTTTCTTTGTATGGCTTGTGGGTTTTGTTGAAAATTGGTCCTTTGAAAAAGCAGAATACTCTGGCAATCTTTGCAGGCTGGTCCTAAGCTTTGGGCTAGTCAGTCCTATTTTCCTGAGGCTGCCACATGGCTATTGCCTTAACTTCCCCAAATCTCACTAGCATGTATGCACACACGTACACACACACACACACCCCTCTACTTTCTTGGCTAGTGTCTGCCAATGGGTCTGTGGTTCAAGTCTGCAACTAGGTTCCAGGTTATGGGCAGCCTAGGCAGACACTGAGGGCCCCCCTCCACAGGAACAGGCATGGGAGTCCTGCCACAGACAGCCAGTTCTGTGATGTGTCAGTCCTCCCCAGGGGTTAGGTCAGCCAGTACCTGACCATTCCCAATCCCATAGGGAAAGGAGCTTGGTGCTTTCTGGCCTTGATGGTTAGTGCCCTCTTGCCTACCTTGGCTTCTAGCTTTAGGGGTAACACAGGTTTGCACGTAAGTTGAATTGCTGTGGTCTTCTCCCCCAGGGCCCCTGCATCTCTCCAGACTTGCTGGCAAGTGCTTCAGCCTAGTGGAGTCGACGTGAGTGCTGGGCTGGTGGGTGGAGTGGGGCTGGCCTGCAGAGCTCCTCATGCTCCTGTGCCTCCAGGTACAAGTATGAGTTCTGCCCTTTCCACAACGTGACGCAGCATGAGCAGACCTTCCGCTGGAATGCCTACAGCGGTATCCTTGGGTAAGCTGAGCTAGGGCAGCAGTGAGCCAGGGCAGCAGTGCTATGTCTGCTCCCTAGGCCCCCACATCACTGCTTTGCCACCCTTCCTTCCCCCAGCATCTGGCATGAATGGGAAATCACCAACAATACCTTCAAGGGCATGTGGATGACTGATGGGGACTCCTGCCACTCCCGAAGCAGGCAGAGCCAGGTGAGGCCCACAGGGGATGTGAGTGGTAGAGAGCTACCCCACCCCCACAAGCTACTGAGGCTCTCTTCCCAGGTGGAGCTTACCTGTGGGAAGATCAATCGACTGGCCCATGTGTCTGAGCCAAGCACCTGTATCTATGCATTGACATTCGAGACCCCCCTTGTCTGCCATCCCCACTCTTTGTTAGGTAGGCTTCTGGGTAGGGCTGGGTCCAAGGAAGAGGAGGGTAGGTGGGAGGTTCAGCAATGTTTGGCTCCTATTGGTCTGTAGTGTATCCAACCCTGCCAGAGGCCCTGCAGCAGCGCTGGGACCAGATGGAACAGGACCTGGCAGACGAGCTAATCACATTGCAGGTGGGTGCGCACTCAGGGGGTGTCCCCTTGCCTACTCCACCAGGTACTCCTTATGCCTCCTCCACTTTCAGGGCTACAAGAAGTTGCTGAGGGTGCTTTTTGAAGATGCTGGCTACTTAAAGGTCCCAGGAGAAACTCATCCCACCCAGCAGGCAGGAGGTTCCAAGGGCCTGGGGCTTGAGACCCTGGACAGCTGTAGAAAGGTAGAGTCTAGGGACAGGGGGAAGGTTACAGGGTCCCTAGTCCTGGTAGCCCCCACCAGGTTTTGACCAGGCTGGCATTCTTGTCCAGGCACATTCAGAGCTGTCCCAGGAGGTACGAAGACTGACCAGTCTGCTGGACCAGCATGGAATCCCCCACACTCAGCCCACAGGTCAGTATGCCTACCCTGGTCAGCTGTCAGCCACCCTGGGGCCTGCAGCTATAGGGGGACAGATCCTCACATGCCACCTGTTCTGGCAGAAACCGCCCACTCTAAGCACCTGGGTCAGCAGCTCCCCATAGGCACAACCTCCGAGCAGCTGCGGGGTGATCCAGGACTACGTGGGAACATCCTGTGATCCAGGTGGTCATGAAAGATAAAGAACAGAAACATCCTCAGCCTCAAGTGTCCTTTCATAGAGAGGTCAGGTGTGGTCTCAGCAGGGTGCACAAAACTGGTGTGGTAGAGACATGGCTTCTTTTGGCATCTTCTAGGCCAGGCAGGGTCACTGACAGACGCAGGGACCTGCTGACCAGCCTTTGTTGTGCTCAGAGACCCAGACAGAATAAATTTCAAAGTTTTAATTAATCTCATACTGATAAAAAATAACTCCATGAATTCTGTAAACCATTGCATAAATGCTATAGTAAAAAAATTTAAACAAATGTTAACAACTTTAAACAATTCACTAAGTAAATGGGTATGTATTATAAATACGACCTTCTGGGTTAAGAAGATTCCATTCACATAACATTCTCAACTAGTTTCTGAAAACAAATGCACACAAAGGCTTCCATAAGTTAATCCACATGCGCATCCACACTGGGGGAAGGTCTGCCAACCAGGCACACAAAACTTTGACACCACTGTTTACTGTTAATAATAACACTAGAGAGTTAAAAGACAACAGGCAACAGGACCATGGTGAGCCTCAGTTCCTAGACCCATGGCCTCACCTCCATTACCCACAGATGGGCCTTAAACCCATCTCTCCCCTCCTTGGCCCTTCCCACCCAGGGTAGATCCTAGGAGCCTTAGCTCACAGGTCTGGGATGGATGGGAGAAGTGGCCCCTTCTTTGGTCTTCCCCCTGCACACCTGTCCTCAGAGCCCAGCCTGATTCCAGAAGAGCAGATGCTCAGGAGAGCTCCCCTCATGGGCTGGGACCCAGTGGACACTGCCTCCTGTCTCCCCAGCCATCACACAGCAGTCCCATAACTGCCCCAGCCCCAGCCTGGAATGTTAGCCCAGGAGGAGTTAACCAGAGTAGCTTACACACAATCTAAAGCTTAATGCTTGTAACTGTTACAGCTTGAAAATGTCCAGATGAGATATCAATCACAAACATTGTCCTGTTACCACAGAGACCAAAGGCCAATATGGGAAACAAGTGCATAAATATGAGTAAAAAGAAACAATCTTAAACCATGGTAACAGTAGCACAAAATACACATGATCTAGTAGGTACTGAGCTAAGAAATCATTATCACTATAATTAAAAACAAAATAGTCACTAAAACCAGGTCAATAGTTACCTTATTAAGTAGTGGGCTAGCTGCGGAATGTTGAGGATCCACTTCCTTTAAAATGATAGAGCTTTTCTACCAGTTTTTCTTATATTAAAAAATGCTTTTAAATCTCCTACTATATTAAATACATTCTAATTTGGTCACTGATAAAAATGTTTTACCTAGTCACTGTGCACTTAAAAAAATGCTATTAAAAGTCTTTGGCAAAGCCATGGGAGGGGAGAACCACTTCTAGGCCTGGGCAGAACCTGCAGGTAGGATACCTGCCCTGCCTAGGTCTGCCACCAAGGTAGGGGTTGCCTAGACAGATGTCTCCCTCTAGATTTCCAGGAACAGTCCAAGTCCTTATTGTAGAAGGCTGAAGTCATCACCCTAGACACATCCTCAGCAGAATTTTAGCCATGGGCCTGAGGCCAAGCTGTGAGGGGTGGGCACTGCCTTCGCCCTGGAAGCTGATGGGTGAGCTGCAGCAGAGCCGGGGTTGCTGGTCATGGGATAGATCTGGTAATAACTGGACGCACAGCTCAGGTACCAGATGTTTGCTAAAACTGTCACGGAATCTCTGGATCAGCTAGAGGTGAGTGTGGTCACAGGGGCAGCAGGCTGAAGTCCAGGTGCACAGTCCCTTAGTTCAGCACAAGCTAGGGTGCCCCAGGCGACTCGGGGTCCACAGCACCGTTGCCATTACAGACAAGACATCAGAACACAGCTCCTTCCCGAGTAGATCTTGGACTCCTCTGAATGCCTGATTCCTTTGCTGCATTTTTCATTAGCATGAAATTGTCTTTCAAGGGAGAAGAAAAAAACCAAATGAACCAATTCCTTCACTTCTTTTGCAAGGCACAGGCACTTGGAAGTGGCCACGGATCACATAAGTGCATGACAGAGCTCTGGATATCACTCTGTGATACTGGAATATAAAACTCCATCTACATGTGCACCTGCACATGTTTAGGAAAATTAGTTCCTTTCATAAAATTAAGAACATCTAAATGTATATGTGTCTCTCAATAACCACTCTCTGCTTATAAATACTATTTGTTTGCACTTAATTTTAAAATGTAAAAATCCTAGGTCTTCTTCACTACTAGATAAATTTCATTTCCTAAATAGTTTCAGAATATGAAATCTAATGTAGTTACCATTACTATGAGTTAACAACAAACTGATAGGAAACTTCAAGTTCACAGTACACTTATAAAGCTTCATGTTATCGCATATTAAAAAACATGGACCTAGAAAGCAGCTTATACAATTTATAATGTCTAAATTCCTCGGTTTACAAAGTGCTTTGACAAGGCCTGACCTCCCACTGGCCTGGCCACAGCAGTGTCAGCACTGGGGGCACCAAAAACATGCCACCTGCCCATGGGACAGGTGGTGGGTTTGGTGGTGCTTCAGAGGTTTTCTGAGAATACCTTGACACCATTGGTAGGACATGGTAGGGAAGAAAAAGTGATTTGAAAGGCTGTTGGACAGTGGGCATGAACTCACATCCTGGCGTGGGTGGTACTGGAGGCCAGTTTCGACACTGTAGTGGCACATGGCATGCTGAGGCCTTTGCACTGCTCACCAGGGAAGGAATGGGTCTGGTTCTCATCACCATGGGAGGGGCTGGCCCTTGCAGTAGGGGCACTCAGGGGTACTGGCTGCACACAGCTCGCATAAGACACGGTGCTGGCAGGGCCGAAGGACAGTGCCATGGGCCCTCTCCTGGCAGCCCACACACTGTTTGGCACGAAGTTGGAAGATCACCTGTAGGAAGAGGTGGTTGTTGAGAGTGTGGGGAGCCAAGAAAGCCCTGAGTGAATGTGTACAGTTGACATGGATATGACTATATCAAGGAAGGATAATGCTTCAGACTCATGGGAAACTGGCAAAGCCTTTCAGTAGAGGTCAGGCTTGGGATTGGCAAAGCGTTCCTCTGGTCCAAGTTTGAGTGTTTAAAAACATTTGACCAGTGTGTGCAGAAAAGAGCAACTGCATGCAGCTTCCTCCTCCCAGCTATTTCCTCCTCTGAGACTGCTCACCTACAGACTCCTCCCACCCAGACAAGCTAACTCCTCCTTGCTGCCTCCTCTGTGCTGTACGTAATAAACACGCTAAGGTTCCAGGTTGCTTTGGTAGTAGGTACAGCTCCATCAGAGCATGCACAGCCCACCTGGCCCTAGCTTTTCTGTGCCCACGTTTTGTTTCTTCAGTGTTTGTCTTTTCTTCTTTCCCTTACTGCCCCTAGTCAGGTCAAGGCACCAGGCTGGCACAAGTCATATCAGGTAAGGCCAAGCAAATGACTATCCCAAGACAGTGGGCCACCAGCTACAGCAGCAGTGCCATCGAGATCCTGAGTGTCAGGCCTGGGGTGGACACTTGCCCAGAGGTCCACAGGGAAGGGCAGTCAGTAGAAGACCCCATCAGAGAGCTGGGTCCTGAAGCAGAGCCACTCTAGCCACAGGCAAGGCTGGCAGCTGGGTACCCACAACGAGTGCTAAGTGGGATCCCATGGTTGAGAGTGGCCCGAGCCCAGGACACTGCATCTTGGAGACAAAGTATACGTGGTAGTTGGACCTTGGTTGTGGTCAATGGGACACATGCAAAAGGTACCAACCAGAGTCCAGGCAAGAAGCCAGGGAAGAGGAAGGAGAAGCAGTATCTGGCCAGGTCTCAGGCCCTCACTAGCCAGTCCCCTTTGCCCTCCCCTCAAGTGACAGCAACTACTCAGCAGGACTCACCCCGTCCACGGCCTCCAGGTCCAGGCGCAGCTGGCTCTGCAGGGAATGCAGCTTGGGGAGAGGGATGTCACTGATGTCACCCAAGCTCCGCAGCCCTGGCAGTGAGGACAAACCCAGGCCCTCTAGTTCCTCCTGCAGCTGCTTCACCTGGGCCTCCACCTCCTCCTTCCTCTGTACGGCCAGCTGCCGGTCACTGTCCGCCACGCGGGCTCTCTCCTTGGCCTCCTGAGCCTCTCTCTGCCAGGCATCACAGGCCTAAAACCCAAGATATCATGCAGAAGGCAGCCACGCCTGGCCTTCCATATGCTCACCTGCCCTGCCTGTGTATCCAAACCCCTTTCTTCCCTCACCCGCATGTCCAGCCCCTCCCTTCCCACATGCTCACCTGCCCTGCCTGTGTATCCAAACCCCTTTCTCCCCTCACCCGCATGTCCAGCCCCTCCCTTCCCACATGCTCACCTGCCCTGCCTGTGTATCCAAACCCCTTTCTTCCCTCACCCGCATGTCCAGCCCCTCCCTTCCCACATGCTTACCTGCTTCACTTGCTGCCAAGACTCTTCCCACTGCCTGATCTTTCTTTTGGCTTCATCTAGCTGTCGCCTGACCCGTGCCAGCTCAGCACTGTTTGGACTTGCACTTGAGGAAGCCGAAGGGCCAGAGTTCAGAATGGGGGATGGGCTAGGAGAGAAGCTGCCAGAAACAAAGTCCCAGATGCTCCCAGGGACGCCGTTCAAACCTGAGTTTAGGAGAGACAGGGATGATAAAGCCCATGCTGCACCCAAGGCCCGAGGTGTGTGCAGGTGTTTCTGCCCCTCCCCTGGCCACCCACCTTGGTACCCTGTAAGTCACTTGTTCATGACTGCTCAAGACTCAGCTCCAAGACTGCCTCCCCTAAATGAGGCCCAGTTGGCTCAGGAAGATCAGAGTGTGAATAGAAAAATAGGTTCAGAGTTCCTAGCCCTAACAGTTCTCATTATATAGATTCAGAAGAGCTCTAGTTCTGAGGTTACCTCATGTATGTTAATTATCAGTTAAAATACATCTGGAGATGGGCACATTTCTAAATAGAACAGATGTGAACAGCCTTTTAGTGGAAATATGAGAGCAGAAGACAGAGTCCTGCTGATCTGTCATACCAGCTCCCTCTCAGCCTGTATCATACAATGAATCCTAGACACTGTGCCTGTGGGGACCCCAAGGTAGCTCCATGTATGCCCTACCCAGAGCCCTAAGTGAGCTGGCAAGCAAGAGGTTGTGATGTAGAGGAGGGCTGTGAGAATGCCCAGCTGTGGGTAGCCAGCTGTCCCATGGTAACACGTCTACCATGTCTGTCCACTCATCTATGCCACATAGGCTGGAGGGGGTGGTGCCTCTCAAGACAGAACTACAGAGGCGAGAAGCCTGCAGTCAGGAATCCCCAAGACTAGATTGGACAGGACCTGTTTGAGGACCCAGAGCCGGCGGGGAGGGACCCACGCCCAGGCACGCACCTAAAGAGCTGTAAGATGAGGCTGCAGAGCCCAGCGTAGCCGGCTCCGACCGGAGGGGTGGTGGCTGCTGAGGGGGCGTCATAGCCGAGGAGACGAGTGGCCCCGACAGGGACTGGGAGAGCGAGCTGAGTGGGGAGGTGGACAGGGATGAGGACGAGTGCAAGGATGGCGAGCGGGGCAGGGAGCCCGGAATGGTGACGGGTGCTGAGCCTGCCAGCGACCTGGGACCTGGTGGGAGGAGGGAGGCTGAGTGAACAAGGGCAGGCGGGGTTTCTGCCATAGAGCCACTTGCCAATAAGCCTGTAGGTCAGTAACTAGGCAGCTAGACACCAGGGAAACCTAGGGGCAGGGTCACCTCAGAAGACACCAGAGGAACCAGGCCAGCAAGCAAGTACCACCCAGAGGGGTGTAGTTGTCGGGCAGCCCCAATTCGGGAGAGCCCTGGTAGTGGTCCTGGCAGAGTCAGGAACTTGCCACTAGCATGGTACTCACAGAGCCACCAGGACTCTAAGATGGGTAGATCTCTTTTGAAACAGAGAAAATAACTTTCAGGATGAAGAAAATTATGTAATAATAGGAACTTCTCTCTATGCCACATAGCCGTAAAAATAATTTCTTGTGTTTCCCATGAGAGGCCCCAGCCAAGTCTAAAGGGTTGCTTTGTCACAACAGAGGTGTAAACTGAGGAAGCAGCAGGAAACTGAGCCACACAGGCAGGTAGCAGAGGCAAGAAGGAGACTCCAAGAAGAGGATCCCAGCAGATGCCTCCCGCCCAACCCCTCCATTAAGCCAAGCAGCATGCACGAAGTTAAAGGTTCCACTGAGCTCAGTCAGCACTCTTACCTGTCAATCCAAGGTCCTGCTCTTCCAAGTCTTTATCTAAGGACGCAATATTTATGTCACTAAGATGGAGATCTAATGCAGAACCTGTAAGATAAGCCTGGTGTTACCCACTCACCTCTCACCCAGCACAGACACAAAGCCTCTTAGGAGGAATCCCTGACCCCATATCCACCAACACCCACCTAGCTAGAGCCAAAGAGCCCCCCTGGCAACCCACTGCAGCACCTGCCTCTGCCTTCTCCTCCACAGCCAGAGTACGTCATCTGAACAGCCCTGGCTGCACTCAGAGACACAGCCCTGGCCCACAAACCTCCTCCGTCCTAGGTGTTGTTTTGTTTTGTTCTGTTGGTTTGCTTTTTGTTTCTTTGAGACAGGATCTCATGTAGCTCATGACTGTCTTCAACTCACTATGTGGCCAAAGGCAACCTGAACTACTTCTGATCCTCTTGTCCTCCACCTCCCAAGTGCTGGGATCATACAGGAATGGACCAGATGCCCAGCTTTGTCTCCTTTACTTCTAACCACTTGTTAAAATTTGACCAAGAAAATATATTCAACTATTAAACATTTTACAGGAGGTCAATTCCAACAGGCAAATGGTTCTGAGGCAATTTTAGGCTGAACACTAAGAGAATGAACTCTGACACCTTGAGGACTTAAGGGAGACCAGGACCTCCACACTCAGTCCAGAAACAGTCTCCTTCTCAAGGGCAGAGGTTGCTGGGTATGGTAGAATACACCTGGCATCCCAGTACTACAGAAGCTAAGGCAGGAGAATCACAGTTTGAGGTCAATTTGGTCTACATAGTGAACTTCAGGAGGAGGAGGAGACCAGGACATGCCTCCAACTTAACACAGCCAGAACAGGGCTGCCGTTCAGGGACCATGTAGTAGGGACATGTTGATGGCCTGCACAGTCAGAGGGGAGGGGGGACAGGAGTCGGCTGTAGGACTATGCCTGTGAGTGGTGTCGCATTCCCTTACAGTCACAGTCAAACGTGTAGGGACCTGCACTGAGAAGCAATGAGACTGCAGCTCTGCCATGGTGACTACTGTCTCTCCCACCCACTTTTCACTCGAACAGCGCAGTTATTCAGTCCTGTGATTCAGCCCTTGCCCCACTGTTGGCTAAGGCCCTCCAGTTCCCAAGAACTCTGAATTCAACTTCAAGATAACATACATACTGGGCATGGTGGCATATGCCTGTAATCCCAATCTTTTTTAGATGCCATAGGTCACCATAAACTTTCCCTGAAGGACCTGGTCTTCTCCCCTTGCTGGATACAAAAGGCCTCTCTACAACAGGATGAAGTACACAGGCTATAAGGAAACCTCTCCGTACCAGGTCAACATAAAACTCTAGAAGCCACTGTTTGCCTCCAACTGTCTAGCATGTCACCACGTCCTCTGGGTCATGTCCATTAGGGACTTTCATGTGAAACTGCTCAGTGACACATAGGTGGCCAGCACACCTCCACTGCCCAAGGGTGAGTCTCTACCTAGCACAGAGCCAGACACGGCTCAGCCAGGGTGAGAATTCAGAGAAGCATGTCTACCATGAAGTAAAGGAGGCACTGGGTGGCAGTGGCCAGTGCACTAGATCAATTCAAGGGTACCTGCAACCGAGGAGTGGCCTGGAATGCAAATGACGCCCTCATCAGTGAGAGACAGGGTGGCACTGCCACAGTGCCAGCTGCACTCTGTAGAGTTGTGGGGACCTACACGGGGGCACACCAGAGACGAACCCTAGTCATACCGCCCTTTCCTGGTCTCTGATTCTCATTCTCAGCCTCATGGTGACCACCTGAGACAAACACAGAACACACCTCTCCTGATGACTGGTTCTCAGGGGCTCCATGAGGAGTAAGCCGGACGCTCCTAATTTCTGAGAAGAGCCTTGTGGCTGTGTGACACCCATTATACTGGCTCACGCCAGAGTGGATCGGCCTTTGGCTTCTGTTGTTTCTAAATTTATCCCTAGAGCTGCTGGCACAACTGGATCCCAGCTCCCTCAGACCTAGCCATGTCCTCCTCACTACTGGAGCTGTGAAAGGAACTACTCAGACAAGGGTCTCAAGAGGAATCTTCGGGGAACTGAGGCCAGGCTGCCAAAGCACCCAGTAGAAAATCTTCCCCCTTGTACCACATGGTCAAGGAACCAGCGCTTTACCCGTTGCAGGGATCTCCACCCCCAGGAGGCCCCAGGTGAGAGAAATCTGTAGGCAACCACTCTCAAACACAAGCCATTCCAATAAGGCTGCTGAGTGAGTGAGCAGGGTGGCAGGGCTGGCCAGGTCCTGAGACCTGGAACCCAGGGCTCCCGGCCTAGACACTTAACACCATGGACTCCGGCACTCAAGAACAGGGTTAATAAGAACCGCTCTCAATCACGCCTCTTCACCCCATCCAATGAGGCTTAGGAAAGCAACAAGATAAAGCGTAGGCAAGATGGTGCTGCCCCAGCACCTACTTCTGTAACCCCTGATGTTCTCGGGCCACGGGAACCTGGCACTGATGTGATGACTGAAGAGAATCATGACAAGGAAAGAAAAACCAAGTTGCCAGGGGAAACTCCGCAATGAGAGTCCAAATGCAGAAGCAAATCGGGGCAAAGCAGGCCACTGTCCCAGTGCTGATGAATGGCACAGGCCTCCTGCTGCACAGGTTTCCTGATTGCTGTGTGTTTCCTCATGTTGGACACCTGTCCCTGACTGAGCTTCTGAGGTCCTTCAGTACATACCTCCTGTTATCTGAGCAACATCTTTCAAACAGCCTGGGACAGAGAGAGATGGGTTTCTGGGCTTTTAGCTGACCAGGGACCATGGGTATCCTGGGCTTGTGGGGACTGAGGACCCCTACTAGGTAGTTTCAGCTCAGGAGTTTATCGTCTTAGAGTCCTGAAGTTCAAAATCGAAGTGTGCAGACCTGCCTGCACTCTTTCTATTGGCTTAGGGATTATTGCTCTACCTCCTGGGGTGTCAGCTCTTCCTGGGTGTGTGACTACATGGATCCTGACTGCCTCCAGTGCCACAATCCTGTTCTCTCTTGTGTGTCTATATTTCTTAGAAGGACACCATCACTGTGCATCAGGACCTACTCTAATGACATCATCTTAACTTGATGACAAAGATCTCATTTCCAAATGAGGACACATTCACAGATGTATCCTCCAATGGTCGTAATCGAATCTGAGCCTCACAGTCTAGGCAAATGTTCTACCACTGAACTATATTCCCAGTCTAGATTCATCTTTTTTTTGGGGGGGGGGGATACAAATCAACCCACAACAAAGGGATCCCACCTGGAGACACTCCCTTGCCATGTCTGCCCCATGGTCTCCAGACCCTGCTCTCCACTCACAGAACTGCTTGTCTCTCACTGGGAACGCATGCCAAACTGGGTTCAACATGGTCAGGGCACCTGTCCCCAGTCCCTGCTCTTCTGCTGCTGTCTCTGCTCAGACTACTAGCCCTCTCATTCTCATACCTCCTCAAGCCCCACTCTTTCCTCCGCCTTCTAGACCCTTCTGTCCAGCTCTGCCTCCTGCAAGGCACTTGTTTCTGCAGGGTTCCGTCTTCCCTGCTGAGCCTGCATCCCCGCACCCCACTCACACAGCCTCCCTCTGGGGGCCTTGAAGCCTTTCCCAGCCTATATATAGTGGCTTCTAAAGCCCTATGGTAACAGGACCCCAGGCCCTACTAAGCCCCAAGATCTTAGCACAACTGATGCCATGACAGAGTGACATTCAGGCCTTAAAACCCAGCACACAGGCAGCAAAACGAGAACAGAGACCTAACCCCTATCTAAGTCCATAGTCTGGGAAAGTCCCTAAGTGTACTAACCCTGCTTTCTGGCTTCTATAGTTCTGCTTCTGGCTAACTGTTCTTGCTAAATGAGATGTGTCAGCCCAGGATGTGGGTTTTGTGCTCAAAAGCTCACCCTGAGAAAGGCTCAGGACTGCACTTGGTCTCGAAGGGGTAGTCTCCAGCTGGCCAATAAAGACTTTCTATTGACTCAAACCCACGTCGGAGTCATCTTCTCTGGTGCATCCTCACAACACTACCTATTCCCTTTCTCTGTGCCCTAAATGGCTATCCCCCAGCACCACATCCCACCCCCAGGATCTCATCTCTCAGTCTGCTGGGGAGGGCAGGTGTCTCCCAAGAGCAGGCATGCTTCAGGGTCCCTTCTTCAATGACAACAAGCTAAGCACAGCTCTTTCTCTCTATCCCACACTAAGACCCCAGACAGCTTTCACAGCTCCTGCCATCCATGTTCTGGCCACTCTTGTAGCTGCCTACCACTTGCAGGAACAATCCTGTCCTGTACTATCCTGTACGGAGTTCTAGCTTCTCAAGCCTGAGCCCCTGAGTGAGCTGGCCAAAGCTTCCTGGTGACTCCTCCCTGGCCACTGCCCTTCCTCATCATACCCACTGCTGAGCACGTCCCACCAGCCCCAGATCCCACCAGCCCCCAAATCCTGTGCGCTGAACCAGTACATCTGGACAGAGCTGGCAAAGCGGGAAGACCGAGGACATGCCCCCATCCTTCCACACAGCAACCTGCCCTATCCTGCCTCTACTGGTCCCAGTGCAGAGGCCCCAACCCAGCCTTTACACCTGATCTGGAGCAGGGAGGTGACAGCCTGGAGAATTAAGTGAGGGACAGTTCCACTGCTCTTGCACCCCTTTGCAAAATTGCAAAAACTCATTCGAAGAACTAAGGAGCAAAGAAAGGCATAGAAGTGGGAACATGTGTTCCCTGGACCCTTCAATCTGGTCATAGTCTCTGTGGCTCAGCACAGAGTCCTAGGTGCAGAGGCAGTCTGGCACTACACAGCACATACAGCTCAGAGGGGCCAAGCTGGGACAGAACCATAATGCAATCAGTCCCAAACAGAAGCACAGGGGGTGAGCCACTGTCCTGGAGACCAGCAAAAGGTCAGTTAAAAGGGGCTATCTGGGGAGCCTCTGGGCCCTGTCAGCCCTATTTCTGAGCCAGGCGGCTCCCCAACTCTTTTTTGTTTGTTTGTTTTTTCAAGACAGTTTCTGTGTAGTTTTGGTGCCTTTCCTGGATCTCGCTCTGTAGCCCAGGCTGGCCTCGAACTCACAGAGATCCACCTGCCTCTGCCTCCCAGTGCTGGGATCAAAGGCGTGTGCCGCCGCCGCTGCCGCCGCCACCACCACCACCACCACCCAGCTTCCCCAACTCTTTTGAGTGCTGTTCAGGAGCCCATCCTACACCCTAGTCCACCAGGCTCTTCTCTCCAACCTCACCAACCCTAATATTCCCAATGATCAGACCCAGTACTTCTGAATCACACTTAAAGGAAAAACGAACTTAGAAAAAGGCAATCCAGGTGAGCCTCATTTCACAAACTACACATGTTTGAGGGCCAGTCTGTGTCGCCTAACTCAGAACTGGCTCCACCAAATGACCTGAAGCCACCTGGACCTCAACAGCAACCAGCAGAGAACTGCTGAGTATTGTCCCAGGTATCCCCAGTTCCCAATATGACACAGCACATTCAAAAGGTGCTGCAGTCCCCCAGGATCAGGGATACACAAAGTGACAGACCACACAGACTGTGGGAAGGAGTTGAAGGCAAGACAGGATGGGTGCCTTCCCTATCTGCAGCTACAGAACAGAGGAGCACCAAGCAACCAGCATACCTGCACTCTGAACTGGGATAGTTAGGAGGAACTGGAGGCACCAGTACTCTAGGGACAGGCTGCAGGAGGGCCACCTTGAGGGCAACAGGGCCCTGGGTAAGCAGCACCAACAAAAAGCAAGTTCTTACGAGTAGGCATGTAAGTTAACCTTTTCTGCAGTCTGAAAAACCTGGTATCCATCTCATGCTCTCACGGTGAATGAGGTACATGGTTTCCAGGGAACATGCACCTGGACGGACATGCATTTTGAAAGGAAGAGATGCGCACCAAGATGGAAGGGTACACTTAGAAGGGAAACTACCAGCTGTTACTTCACCTGGGGGTACGCTGGCCGACCAGGACGATCTCAAGGGGAGATACCAGTCAAGGGGGAACGCCACCAGGGAGGACGTGAGTGTAGGACAGCAGCCTCCTGGAGGACACGCACCGGAGAGGGGGATGCACACCTCGGGAGGAGGGAGGACGTATGCCTGCTTTTCCAAAGCGCTGAGAAATGACGACCCACAACTTGGTGCCAGGCTGACGCGAGACCAGGATCTGCCGCAGCCACTGTCAATGCTGACTCATAGCCTCCGCAGCCCCGGCTGTCACGGAGGATTCAAACCTGCCTGGTTCGCGCTCCGCCCTCGCCAGCCGCTGGCCGAAACGGCGCGCAGGCCCCGCCCACTCACGCTGTGCACCCTGCCCCCGGAGCACCAGGCCACGCCCCCACAGCACCCGCCTACCGGGTGTGCTAGAGAGGACAAGATTTTCGCGGAAAGCCTGACTAGCAGGGGTGGGGGGTGGGGACGGAAACGGGGGGCGGGGCGGGGGAGGGGGTATGGGCCGAGCATAGGGAACGCTCATAGGAGCTCACACCCCTGTGGCCAAGAGCCAGAGGCGTGTTCACACTGACCACAGAACCACTCCGCTCCCACCCCCCCCGCCCCGCCCCTCTTATATGTGCAGGCCCTGCACTTGGCTTATTTAATTAGAAGGAAACCCAAAAGAGGCACTGCCTTCCAGTCTTCCCCTCTTCGTGGCCAGCCCTTTAAAACTGAAAGACGCAGAATGAGGGCCAACCCCATGAGGCCGCGACATGTGGGTCAGGCTAGCTACTGGGTAGAGGCAGGGATTGCCCCTGTGCCTAGGAACCATGGATACCCATCATTGGGAAGACAGCCACTGACTTGTGCCAGGCAATGCTGAAGATGGGACTCTTACAGCTATGATTTTGTTTTGAGACAGGGAGGGTCTTGATGTACAGTCTAGAAGGACTCAAAGTGATCCCCCTGCCTCAGCCTCCCAAGCACTGAGATTACAGTACCCAACTAGATGACTTTACATATGACCTCAGCAGTGAGGAGAGGAAGCATTCACTATTTTAACTAGGAAGCAGCAACTACAATACAGTGTCTGTAAATGAAGACAGGCGGCTTACCAAACTTGAGGCCTTGGGTTTCATTCCCCGTAATGCAAAAAAAATTTAAAATGCACTTTACAACTTTCTGACTCTGCGGCTAAAACCATGCATTGCATATTAAATGATGGCTGGAAACTACTGCAAATACGTTAACATCTGTCAATCTGAAACACCTGACAATTCAGGTCTTTCTGAGATTCATTCAATGTTCATAGCACCTGGTTCAACCTTTCACCGTGGTGAGCCCACACAGTCTGCTTGTTCAGGGATGGGAATCTAACTTTCCCTCAACATTCTTCTGTTATGTATCCTCTTTACTTTTACACTAGAAAACCAAAGGGAGCCGGGCGGTGGTGGCGCACGCCTTTAATCCCAGCACTTGGGAGGCAGAGGCAGGCGGATCTCTGTGAGTTCAAGGCCAGCCTGAGCTACAGAGTGAGTTCCAGGACAGCTCCAAAGCTACATGGAGAAACCCTGTCTTGAAAAACCAAAAAAAGGGGGGTGGTGGTGGTGGAAGGGACCTCAGCAGCACAGCCACCAGCTCCAGGCCCCCCCTCAGTCCCTATGGAGTACAGGACTGTCTTTAATGTCCCTGAGGATGGTGGAGGGAATTCGCCTCCTCCAGCACTAGTGGCATCATTCTCAACCTGCATCCGATGTAGGATTCTAGCAGGCCTACGTGGATAGAGCTTGTGCTGTCTTGTGGGATGGTGACACCTCTGTGTCCTCTAGGTAAGGCTTGCCTACTTGTGCATCAACATGGACATCTTTACTCTGGGTCCCTAGGCAGCATGACCTATTTCAAGTTAGAGGGCTTACCTTTCCAGTTCCTCATCTCTGAAATCACCACAAATGCCATTCTTCTTTGTACCTCCCATGGCCATACCGGCTTTGGGGACTGGAAGGATACCTCAGTGGTTAAGAGCACACCAGCTGCTCTTCCAGGGAACCCATGTTCAATTTCTAGCACCCATGAGGCAGCTCACAACTATCTCTAGCTCCATTTCCAGGGGAACCAATTCCCTCCTTTTGGCATCCACAGGCAATGCATGCATGCAGTATAGACATACATTTAGGCAAACTCATATATATATATAAAATAAAAGCAAATAACATCTTTTAAAAAAACGCTAGGTGGTAGTGGCACAAGCCTTTAATCCAAGAGCTCAGGAGGCAGAAGCAGAAGGATCTTTGTGAATCTGAGGCCAGCCTGGTCTACACAGAGAAACGCTGTCTCAAAAAAAACAAACCAAACCAAAACAACTCGGGCTTGGGGTCAACTAGGGCCCTGGGGACCACAGAATGCGGCAGCTCAGAGCACTGACTCACAAGCACCTGTGTACACAGGAATGCAGGCCCTCACTCCTCTTGGCCTCAGCCCATCTGCTTAACTCATCCTGGCCTTTGTGCCCACGCTCTTGGCTCCTGTTCAGGCCCTGATACACCATCCTAGCCCAGCTACCACCACACTGAACGACTCCCAGGCACCAAAAAATCCAGCAAGCTGGCTGCAAGCTAACAGCTGGCTGTGTTATCTGCTCCAGGCTTCCTTACCACTCTCCTCTTCACCCTGTCATCACCCCCACTTTTTAAAAAGATTTATTGATGATTGATTATGTATACAGTATTCTGTCTGCATGTATGCCAGATCTCATTACGGATGGCTGTGAGCCATCATGTGGGTGCTGGGAACTGAACTCAGAACCTCTGGAAGAACAGCTTATGCTCTTAACCGCTGAGCCATCTCTCCAGCCCCAATCACCCCCACCTTTAATTCATCATGATTTCCATTGCCACTTCTCACTAGCCTCCTCCTTTCCCTTTGGCCTCTGGGACAGAAGGTCCACTTGCCATGGTTCTTTGGTGTTTTGTGCAGTATCTGATGCGGGCTCCACATATGCTGCCGTTCTGAGCACTGCAGAGCACGAGTGAATCAAACTGAGAGACAACAGAACCATGTCAACGGCTTTTCTACAGAGCAGTGCATCCTGAACATCTACGACAGACAGTGTGACACGCTGTGAGAGGTACAGAAGTGTGGACTTACCGAGGACTGCCTCCACAGTGTTGCCAGCTGGATCCAGTGGGAGGGCCCGGGCAGGGAGGGCAGGCAGAGCAGTGGGAGAGGAGCTACCTGAGCCAGTGCTGGACGCCAAACTCGATGCCACACTGGAGCTTATGCTGGGGGCCAGTGGGTGAAGCACTGAGAACACAGCGAGGTGGTTCTGTTCAAAAACACAAACAGTGTGAGCAGGTGCTGTTGGGAGTACCACAGCAGCAGAGACACCGCAGGTGGATGGGCTGCCAACGTCCACAGAGCAGCACACAAGGACAGCCAGTGTCTCGGGGCTGCAGAGGGGTGGGAACCGTTTGCTGCATGCACTGACCACGACAGGTTGTCTTGCTGTCACTCAGGCAAACAGATGTGGAAAGTGTCTTAGCAGACATAAAACCTGTGACAGGCCAGGGGCTGGGGGCCTGCCAACCCTTCTCCCCAGCCTCCCAGGAGCCTCTGTGGCCCTCCCCACTGCTTACCCACCCAGTGACCAGAAAAGTGAAAAACTGAGGAAAACCGGTACCATCTCCATCTGATAGACAACAGATACAACAAGTCATACGATAACAAACATGTGGCCCAGGCCAGATTCAGGGAACAAAGCAGCAGAGCTGCTGGCCCTCAGCATGTCTCAGTACAATGGACACTTACACCAAAATCCAACTGTGTGCTGAAGCTGGGATCTTTCTATCGAGAAAAAGCAGCCCATGCATCCTGGGCCTCGCCACACCTCCCTGAGCCATCGCCAGGGCACTCACATTCCCCGTGAGTCCCACAAGGGTACCCAATGACCCCACACTCAGGAGTGACAGAGGTGTCTGGGTCAAAGAGAGGACAGGTGTTCTCTACCAGCAAGTCACAGCCACTGGTCATAGGCTGAAAGAAACTGCTACCAGCATGAAGTGAACCAGCTCTCTTAAGACATAAGATCACACGTCACAGCGGGCAATCAACAGCTTAGCGGTAACCATATCATGCAGGTACCAGGTACAGAAGCTGTAGGCACCTGTGCTGTCTCTCAGCCATCCCCTTCACCAGTGGGCCCAGTCCAGAGGTGAGGTGGTCCCAATCAGTCAGACTGAAGGCCACCCCAGAGCAGCCTAAAGGCCAGCATCTTGGATTATATCACTACTGCCCCCTTCCACCTGTCTACCTTAAACTTCAGACTTCACCTAAGTCCAATACCACTAGAAACACATGCAGCTCTTTCCAAATAATGGGGAACATGTCACCCCCCAACAAGGTCCTGGTTTAGTAGAGAGGCCTGTTGCCTGGAACCCCAGGAAAAAATCTATGCTCTGTCACTTCTGGGACTTTAATACTTCAGGAGTTAAGTTGCTCTTCCAAAGGACCCAGGTTTGATTTCCAGCACCCACATAGCAGCTCACAACCATCTGTAACTCCAGTTCCCAAGGATCCAATGGCCTCTTGTGGCCTCTGTGGGTACTAGACATGCACGTGGTACACAGACAGACATGCAGACAAAAAAACATCCAAACACATACTATAAAATAATAAAAATTAAAACAAAACAAAACCTTCCTAGACTTTAAACCAGAGACCAAGAACGCAGAGAACTTGCAAGGTGGCAGGATGTTACTGCCAAACCATCAACATAGCTGGTCTGAGGCAGTGGAGAGCGCCAGATGGTAGCTCAGGCAGGTTATCTCTTCACCCACACTGTGAGGACAGCAACAATACTAGCCGGGCTGTGGGACACCAGGGCCCCATCTGGGAACTGACAGACAGCCTGAGGAACTGGGACCTGCCTAGGGCACTGAGGTACCATCCTCTCTTCCCAGATGTGTTTGAGGGGGACAACCATACCTGGGGTTCTCATTAGTGCATGTGGTACCATGCATGGTCTTCAAGAAACCAAAATAGTCCTGCCTCAGAGTGGTACATACTATGACAACACCCTCCAATCATACCAGCAGAGAATGCATCCCTCTTCCCCATGTAAGGATGCTAGGAGACTGCTTGACCCTGAAAATCCTTTCCGTTCAAGGTCAAAATGATGAGAAAGTCAGACACAGTGGGCCAGAGAGACACCACCAGGGAAATTCCCCCTTTCAGGCCACTTTCGTCTGCCTGGCTTTTCTCTCTCCTTCCTTTTTTTCTTTCTTCCTTCTCTTTTCTTTTCTGTTTTTAAAATATACAAAGGATGCCAGGTGGTGGTGGCACATGCTTATAATCCCAACACTCAGGAAGCAGAGGCAGAGGCAGGTGGATCTCTGTGAGTTCAAGGCCAGCCTGGTCTACAGAGCCAATTCCAAGACAGCCAGAGGTACACAGAGAAACCCTGTCTCAACAACAACAACAAAACATATGTATAGATATAAATATAGATAGATAGGTAGGTAGATAGATATAGACATAGATATAGATATAGATATATGGATGGATGGAGACTGACAGACAGACAGCTATACACACATGGGATAAAAGTAATCATTTAGCCATTCTGGGTTTTATTAATTTTGTTTATTGAGAGAGAATATATGTGTAGGGATGCATGTGTGTGCAGGCCAGAGGACAGTGCATGGGAGTCAGTTTTCCCCCTCTACCTGTGGGTCTCAGGGGTCAACCCCAGGTCATCACACATGGGGACAAGCTCTTACCTGCTGAACCAACTGGTTGGCCCTTCATCATTCTGAAGCATGTACTTCCTGGTGATACTAGGGACTGAACCTAGGGTCTCACATACTAGCTGTGCTGACCAGATGATGTCAACCTGACACAGCTAGAGTCGTCTGAAAGGAGGGAACCTCAACTGAGAAAACGCCTCCACACGATCTGGGTATAGGGCATTTTTTCTTTCATTATTATTTTTTAAATTATTTACTTTTATTTTATGTGAACTGATGTTTTGCCTGAGTGTGTGTCTGTCAGATCCCCTGGAACTGGAGTTACAGACAGGTGTGAGCTGCCATGTGCATGCTAGGAAGTGAACTCGGGTCCTCTGGGGGAGCAGCCAGTGCTCTTCATCATTTAATCCCTCCAGCTCTGGGCATTTTCTTTCTTTCTTTTTTTTTTCTTTCTTTTATTTATGTATTTTTTTTTTCTATGAGTGTCCCATTTGCATGTACACATGTATGCCTGAAGAGGTCATTGGACTCCACTATAGATGGCTGTGAGCCACCATGTGGTTGCTGGGAATTGAACTCAGGACCTCTGGAAGAGCAGTCAGTGCTCTTAACCACTGAGCCATCTCTCTAGTCCCCGGGCATTTTCTTAATTAGTGATTGATGGGAGAGGACCCAGATCATTGTGGGTGGGCCATCCCTGGACTAGTGGTCCTGAGTTCTATAAGAAAGTAGGCTGAGCCAGGCGGTGGTGGCGCACGCCTTTAATCCCAGCACTCGGGAGGCAGAGCCAGGCGGATCTCTGTGAGTTTGAGGCCAGCCTGGGCTACAGAGCGAGATCCAGGAAAGGCGCAAAGCTACACAGAGAAACCCTGTCTCGAAAAACCAAAAAAAAAAAAAAAGAAAGTAGGCTGAAAGCCGGGCGGTGGTGATGCACACCTTTAATCCCTTGGAAATGGAGTGTGTTACTTAAGCCTCTGCCTGAGACACTGATAGAGTGGCTGTAGCTGGCTGATATACAGGCTCTGAAAGGCCTGTGTTTCCCCAGAGAAAAATGCCACAAGGCTTTGGTTTTGTTGTTTTCAAGGACACATATTTGTGTGTGTGTGTGTGTGTGTGTGTGTGTGTGTGTGTGTGTGTGTGTGTGTGTGTGTGTGTGTTGAGACAGGGTTTCTCTGTATAGCCCTGGCTGTCCTGGAACTCACAGATTCACATGCCTCTGCCCCTCCTGAGTGCTGCGATTAAAGGTATACGCCACCACCACTTGGCTTAAAATTTTTTTTTTTTTTTTTTGGTTTTTTCGAGACAGGGTTTCTCTGTGTAGCTTTGCGCCTTTCCTGGAACTCGCTTTGGAGACCAGGCTGGCCTCGAACTCACAGAGATCCGCCTGGCTCTGCCTCCCGAGTGCTGGGATTAAAGGCGTGCGCCACCACTGCCCGGCTTAAATTTTTTTTAACAACAAAACAACAGACACACAAATCCAAGCATAAGAGGAAGGTAATTACGGAGCACATGGGCACTAGGGCTGGGGACTTAGCTCAGTGGTGGAGCAAGACCACACAGTGTATGGACAGGCCTAGAAAGCCATGCTCTCCAGTTGCACAGCCGTGTGGCCCCAGAACTGTACCTGCTTGCTGTCCTCACTAGCTTTCTGGCTTCCTTCAGAGGGGGAGTCTTTCCGTTTGGCCTGCAAGAGAAGGACCGCTCAGGTTGGAAAGGCAAGGAGGAGACATCTTCTGAAAACACACAGACTTACACTTTGTTTAGAATTTAGAAAACACTGGAACTGGTGTGCTGGCTCAGGCTTGTAATTCCAGCACAAAGGAGGCTGAAGCAGGAAGATGCTAAGTTTGAGACCAACCTAGGCTATGTAATAAGACCCTGCCTAGCCGGGCGGTGGTGGCGCACGCCTTTAATCCCAGCACTCGGGAGGCAGAGCCAGGTGGATCTCTGTGAGTTCGAGGCCAGCCTGGGCTACCAAGTGAGTTCCAGGAGAGGCATAAAGCTACACAGAGAAACCCTGTCTCGAAAAACCAAAAAAAAAAAAAAAAAAAAAAAAAAAAAAAAAAAGACCCTGCCTCAAAGCAAAAACTAACAAACACCACCAAAAACAAAACACCAAGAAAGTACAAGTCCTGGAAGACTCGTGAAACCAAGAAGGTGCTTTCATGGTACCAAAGCCCCTCCCACACCTGGATCACTCAGGACTGACAGTCTGTGGGGCACTGCACAGGCACCAGGAGTCAAGGAGTTGTTCAAGAAGAAGGCCTGGCCATGGGCTCATGGACTCACCACACTGAACAGGCCCTCAGATGAGGTGGTCAAATTCAAGGGCATCAGGCTGGAGACTAGAACTAAGAACGCTGGTCTCCTGTTTGACCCAAACAGCATCGAGGCTGACACTGCACAGGAGTGTGGGTATTGCCAGGGAGACCCAGCTCTACCTTCTTGAGGGAGGATCGCTCCAGGCATTTTAGTGGCCCTGTGAGGGTTTTGTGACAAATCCAAGAGAAAAGTGGCAAGTTCTGGGTACACAGTGCCAGCAGAGTCCCAGGCACCAAAGCCTGAGTGTGGAGATGCTGCCTCCACAGGCTCTCAACCCAGATGGTCCACACACTCCGGGGAAGGGACCCAGGACAGCTCACTGACACCAGAGTGGCAGGAGCGTCACGGAAGGCACTGGCGATGCACTCTCGAAGTCTGACGGCTGCACCGGGTCCCGAGCCAACACCAGCAGAGCACACCTGTGTACCCAGGACACTCAGATGCTGGCCTGTCGGTCACAAAGAACACTTCCAGAGTCTCAGCGGCCCGTCAGCAGACCCAGGGTCCACCCGACACAAGCGGCCTCGGGAAGACAGTGCAGCGACACCCAAAGGGCACAAGCTAAGCAGAGTGGCTCTGTTCAATCAATTCAGTAATGTTTGTTTTGTTTTGTTTTTTGAGACAGAGTTTCTTTGTGTAGCCTTGGCTGTCCTGAATCTCGCTCTATAGTCCAGTCTGGCCTCGAACTCACAGAGATCCGCCTGCCTCTGACTCACTAGTGCTGGGATTAAAGGTCTATGCCACCTCTGCCCAGGAAACTCAGGAATAATATTTCAATATTATTCAAACAGTTTTAGAACCAAATACTAGTTTTAGTCCATTTTTGAGAAGCCTGTCCCCATATTGGGAGCCCTCTTCAGGATTTACTCTAGTGGCTGACTGGCACGGATAGGAAGTGATTTCTAAGTACGATGAGACCATCCATCCTCATCCTACCCATCAGATACATGATGCCCTTATCCAACACACGGGAGTGTCAAGTAACACAGACGAGGCATGCCACATCAGCTACTGTTTGCTGATGACCTCCCACTGCCTAGGGACCCGACAGCTCAAGGCATCTGCAAAGATGAGGCAAAGAGCACTGGGCACCTGCTAAAGCAAGATCCCGCCAGTCAGCACACCGGGAGCGTGTCCTGCTCCAGCCCACGCAAGAATGGAGCCAGGATTTTTCTAGACTCTTCTAGAAGGAACCTCAACTCCACATGTAGACTGCCTCCAACCACACAACCCAAATGTCATCCTATCTCTGTCCCCAACAGTGTGATTAAGCCAAGCAATGTCCACTTACACTTCCAGGCTGGCTGCTGTAAGCCGAGGTGCTGTTGGAATTGAGATCACGGCAGCTCCAGTCATTCACCATTCCCAGGCTCTCTACCAAGAAGAAAGAGCAGTTGGCACCGAGGGGATAGGTGGAGAGCACAGGCTGGTGTTACAACCACTTCCCCTTTTCTGGATGGCAGGCCGGCCCTCAGAGAGCCACTGAACTTTTTTTTTCTTTTTCTTTTTTTTTTTTTTTTTTACATTTATTTATTATGCATACAGTGTTCTGCCTGCATCCCTGCAGGCCAGAAGAGAGCACCAGATTTCATTACAGATGGCTGTGAACCATCATGCGGTTGCTGGGAATTGAACTCAGAACCTCTGGAAGAACAGCCAGTGCTCTTAACCTCTGAGCCATCTCTCCAGCCCACTTTCTTTTTCTTAAGATTTCTTTTTAGGGGCTGTAGAGGTGGCTTGATGGTTAGGAACATTTGTTGCTCTTGCAGAGGACCTGCGTTCAGTTCCCAGAACTCACATGGTAGCTCACAACCATTTGTAACCCAGTTCCAGGAATGCAACACCTTTTGGCTTTTGTAGGCACCAGGCATGCGTGTGGTCACATAAATACAGGCAAACAAAACATTCACGTACATAAAAACCAACCTATTTTTAAAAGTCTACTTTTAAGTATGTGTATGATGTGTGTCTCTGTGTGGGTACGTGCACAGGAGTCCTTGAGAATGCATTAGATCCCCTGGTGGTGTGGGCCTCCTGAGTGAGCGCTGGGAAAGAACTCAACTTGCATCCCCTGCAAGAGCGGTACATGCTCCTAACCACTGATCCATCTCTCTAGACCCCAAACAGTGCCATTGGGTTCAGTAACTTTAATAGGAAAATCAACATGTCAAGTGTGAACAGAACAGCTGCCATCCCAAATGAGACAGAAAGTGAAGTCTGAATTTGTAACTATTTTATAACCCCCAGAGTCCAAACCCCAGAGCTGGGGACAGCTCTAGAGAATCTATTATGTACCTATGTGACAATTACTGGCTCCGAGGCTCTGGGACAGCTGGCCAAGCCTAACTAAGAGACCTTGGTGTTTCCTCCAGCTACATGGACAGATAAGACTCCACAAAGCCACTGCCACTCAGTCCCACTAGAACAGTAGCTCAGGGCAAGGCGTAGGTGAGCAAGTGAATGACAAACAGACCTGGCTGTCCCTGAGGTAGGTGGGGCCCAGCAGGCCTTGGGGCAAGTGTCCTTCTAAGTTTTAACAGGTCCAGCCTGTCTCAGGTACAAAAGGCAAGGCAGGTCCAGCCATGTGGCATGAGCCCCCACCCCAGCCATCTAAATGGGCATGATGTTACGTGCAGATGTGGCCAGAGCCCAGGTCACTCTTTCCTGGTCCTCAAAGCTGGCTTTGGATGAGCCAAAACTGAGTGAGACTCTGTGGAGCTGCTGAATGAGAAATGTGGCTGAGGTGGCCCCAGGAGGCGGGGGGGTTGTCTACTTACTCTCAACATGTGCAAAGGCACAGAAGGGGCCCCGAGGGCAGTAGCCGGTTTGGCGCATATCGTTGCATTTTGTAGATTTGTAGATCTAGGAAATAAGACAAAACACAGAAGCTTATTGATCTGGGTTTCTGGGAGAAGGACACAGTTGGCTGCTCGGAACACACCAGCCATCACAGACCGCACAGCTGGCTGCTCGGAACACACCAGCCATCACAGACCGCACAGCTGGCTGCTCAGAACACACCAGCCATCACAGACCGCACAGCTGGCTGCTCAGAACACACCAGCCATCACAGACCGCACAGCTGGCTGCTCAGAACACACCAGCCATCACAGACCGCACAGCTGGCTGCTCGGAACACACCAGCCATCACAGACCGTACAGCTGGCTGCTCGGAACACACCGGCCATCACAGACTGTGCGGGCACTTCCAGCTGCAGAACAGATATGCGGTGTCTCCAAAAGTTCACAGAAGGCCTGGTTCTCAGCACTGGAAGATGGTGAAACCTTGACAAGTCAGGGCCTAGTGGGTGGCCCCTAGAACAATGAGGCATGCTCTTGTGGAGGCAGGGCAGGCCCAAAGCTATGGGACCATGTGATCATGGATAGGAACCTCCAAAACTTCGAGCTACACAAACCTTTTCTTTCTAGTGATGGAAAGGTGGCCACCACACAGTTCGCCCCTAGATGCCCTTGGTCCTGAAAACCCTCCTCTGAAGAACGTATCGGTCAGGGCCAAACCTGTCCATCAGACCTCCAGGCCAAGTCACTCTGATACCTGCCATCTCTTGAAGAGGGGTCTAACTCTGGCATACAGCAGACGCTCAAGCAAAGCCTGCTCAATGAATACAAGCATCTACCTTGTGACTAGACTGTTCACCACTTCACTTAGGGTACCACACTCACCATGGGGACCTGACAAAGGACAGGCAAGCCTTGACACCAGGAACTCTACCCCAAGGGCCAACACTTGCCCAGACACCAAAACTGTATCACCCACTAAAGAGGCTCAGGTAAGGGCACGACAACAGCACCCCTGCACTAGCAGACTTCTGTCTGCATGGAGTCCCACTTCCTTCAGGTCCTCCAGCGTAGCCCCAGCTCCCTGCAGACTCAGGGCTCCAAGGACAGTCCTTTTGCTTCCTCATTTTAACTCAAATCTAAATGTGTTCTGCCTGGTGACTGCGTAGTCAAGGTGAACTCACAAGGGCAGGGCCAAACACCTATCGAGAACATGCCACAGGACAGACAGCTCTGATCATCCTGGTGGTGACCTCTGAACCCCTGAAACATCCTCAAGAGAGAGTCTCAGGGCAGGCAGTTCATCTCACATGGCACTCAGGGTGGAGTTGTGGGCCACACGGGACCAGCTGGACATCAACAGGTACTGCCAACAGGGCAGCCAGTACCAGTAGCAAGGGGAAGGAACCCTCTAGTAAGAACGGTCACTCCCTGCTCAGACTCCCTGTTCTGGGAAAGGGAAGTGTCATCCTCACTCCATGGGGGTCATCCCTGCCTCCCTCCCCCAACCCCCTTCCCCAACCCCTCCTAGGCTAATTTAATACATCTCACAGTGTAACGCAACAATGTGCACTGAGTGACGTTTCTGGTCCTACAAGCCCTTCCGGTGATGATCCCACACACAGCAAGCCCCTGTTGAGCTGCCAATCATTCCATCCAGGCCCTGCCCCGTGCCTACCTCAGGATGGAACTGCTGCTCCGTACGGGAATGGCAGTACTGACAGCTGTCCCCACTGTCACACCGTGAGGGCTCGCCCCACTCGTCACCATGCTTCACACTAGGGCAGGGCGTAGACCTAGAGGAGGAAGAGTGAGCCCCGTGTGCTCAGAATCCAGAGGGCAGAGGGCAAGGTGAACTACAGTGACCATGTTCCCACTCAGGGGTGCAAAGGAAAACAGGGTGAACTTGCCATCTGAGTCAGGGCCGCCTGTGTGAAGGGGGTGAGGGACCCACAGCGGGTGTTGGCCCAGGGCTCTGTCTTCTTCAGCAAAGTAGAATCTGAGACTTGATGCCTGCTGTTTGCAGACTCTTAATCAGCTTAAGTGACCCCCACCCCCCACCCTTCCCACACTTTCTGGCGGCTTCACAGTCACTCACTTGGGGTTTATAGTCAGAACTCCCCGCTTGGGACTCTTTTCCCTTTATCCGGTTTCCCATCCTTTTTACAAGAACGTCCACTGGTCCTCTTAAGGCCTGCAGTGGTGACAGACACCACTGATGTGTACTATTCCTGGTTTTCTACTCAGGTCTCCTGACCCTGAATCTATTCAGAAAGCAGTGAAGTCACAAATCCACCATCTCCATTCATCTATAAGAACAGGTGTATCTGGGCACTCAAGGGGACATGGGATTATTACAAAGAGGAGAGGGTAGTAGCCCTCTGCACAGAAAAGGTTCAACAGGCTGAAGGAGGAACCTGTGGGGACTGGGGCCTGGGCCACCAGGAGTGCAGACTGCAAGCCCAAAGGAGAGGCCAGCAACACAGAGAGGGGCAGCTGGAGGCAGAGTAGATGATGCTTTGGAAGATGGGTGACCATCAGCCTGGTGGGACCCCAACCCAGATGCAGTTGAGAATCAAGAGGGCAAGAAGTTCAGCAACCCCTAGAACTCTCAGTCTCCAGATTCAGTGCCCTGCTATCACTTTGGAAGGTGAACTCTATCTCACATCCCACTAAATCCAAAGGTGCAGTGACTGCTGGGTGATGCACAGCCCTTCCTTACATTACAGGGGTGGTACATTGTATAAGGGTGGTGCATTGTTACCAGAAGGGCCAGGAGAAACACTTAAGGGTACTGGACAGGCTGCAGGGGGTATCCCCAGCTGTGTTCCCCAGACAAGGCTGCCAGTGGGAGGATCACGTGAGAACCTGCCTGAGTACAGAGAGAGAGAGGCCCCTGCTCTGCCCTCACTTATCCCTACAACAGCTGTTCAAGCCTTTACTTTGTCTGTAACAAGCCCAGCCCTTTAAGACAGCTTCCTTGCCTATGGGGTGACAGCATTGCTGAGCAGGGACTCCTCAATGGGAGAATTCTCAGAGTGGACATCTCCTCAGAGTGGACATCTCCTCAGAGTGGACATCTCCTCAGAGTGGACATCGCTACAGCAACAGCATGGAAAATGCTCCCCCTCCCCAGCATGGGGTGCAAGAGCCACAGGAAAGAAGTGAAGAAGCCTCATGGCCCTGCGTCTGTCAGATGAACTGAGGCAGCGGGGGTAGCAGCAGTCAGCCCAGTGGTTACAGTAAAGACATATTCTACAGCCAGAGCAGACCCCTGATGGGGAACACCTGGGAGATGGCTCCGGGTCCTCCTGCCTGTGGCCCCTGAACCCACCTGTACTGGAACATCCTGGGGTTCCGACGGCGGTCTCTGCTGTTGTGGTAGTGTGGACAGGCGTAGCCCTGGCGACATAGGCGTGGTGGCTTTGGGCACTGCTCCGTCTTATAGCTGCCCAGTACGAAGTTACTGTCTGTAAAATAGATGCAAGAAAACCTGGCCTTTAGTGCTCACAGTAACATCAGGTATAGCAGCCCAAAGCCCAGACCGTCACACATCCATCACCACCGAGTAGATAAACAAACACAGTTCACCCGTGAGGAAGGACCAGACCTGCTGTACTATGGACTGCAGTAGGAGATGCCAGGCGCAAGGCTATGAGTATGACCAACATTCATTTGACGTACAGAGGAGAGAAACCCAGAGATGAAAGAGCACCAGAAGACAGGGAAGCCCTGCTAACTGGGATAGGATTCCTTTGGGAACTGGCTGGAAATATAGCTCAGTTAGTAGAGGGCTCATCTAGCGTGCACAAGCTTGGCTTAGTCCCTAGCACAATACAGGCATGGTGGGACAGCCTGTAATCCCAGCACTTGAGAGGCATAGACAGGAGCATTAGAAACTCAAGGTTATTCTTGGTTATATGGCAAGTTCAAGGCAAGCCTTAGTGAAATGAAGCCCTATCTCAAAAAGGAAGAGAATTCAAATGACAGTGAAGTGATGATCACACACTGTGTGACCATATTAAAAACCACTGACAGGCCGAGGAGATGGCTTAGTGGTCTTTTTTTTTTTTTTTTGGAGACAGGGTTTCTCCATGTAGTTTTGGTGCCCGTCCTGGATCTCCCTCTGTAGACCAGGCTAGCCTCGAACTCACAGAGATCTGCCTGGCTCTGCCTCCCGAATGCTGGGATTAAAGGTGTGCACCGGCTTAGTGGTCTTAAGTGATTGCTGTCTGAGGACCAGACTTAAGATCCTAGAATTTATGGAAATTCCACACAGGCATGCCAGCCTGCATGTAATTCCATCACTCAGAATGCAGATCCAGTGAGCTGTGGGAACAATTCAAAGACCCTTTATCAATGAATAAAAGGGGAAAGAGTGACAGAGGACACCATATGATGTCAACCTTGGCTTCCATATATACACAAATGCACATTCACTTGTCCACAAACACATATTCACAGCCATGCACACACCTACCCCACACCAACAACAGAAACAGCTTTTTTTTTTTTGAGACAGGGTTTCTCTGCATAACTGTGGAGCCTTTCCTAGAACTCACTCTGTAACCCAGGCTGGCCTCGAACTCACAGAGACCAGGCTAGCCTCGAACTCACAGAGATCTGCCTGGCTCTGCCTCCCGAGTGCTAGGATTAAAGGCATGCGCCACCACCGCCCCGCCAGAAACAGCTTTTTTGAGACTATGTTTGTCCTCGGCTCGCTGACCTACTCCCATTCTCAGGGATGTCTTCTCTTTCTTGAACTATTTCTAGTCCCGTAAGAAAAAGTCAACTTACTGAAATGTAACCCCAAGCTCCACAGACTTGGGTGGTGACTCGCCAGGGTAGGTCTACCCAGTGCACCAGAGGTCTGGCTTTACTGTGGATGCTGTCAATAAGGCTGGGATGCACAGGAACATAGGCCTGGATTTTCTTCTCAGTTTGCAGTGACTAAAAATACTTTTAGGCCAGTGAGATGGCTCAGCATGTAACAGCACTTACTGCATAAACCTGGCAACCTGAATTCAATCTCTGGAACCCACAGTGGACGGAGAGAATTGATCCCCAAAAGTTGTCCTGTGACCTCTACCTAAGCACCATAGCATTTGAATGCCCACTCCCACCTCTGATGACGATGATGATGATGATGATGATGATGATGATGATGATGGGAGAGGAGAAGAAATTCTTACTTTCAAAAATGCTTAACATTTTTGTTTTTTTTTTCTTTTAAAAAGAGGTTACGCGTAATCTAGGCTGGCTTCAAATTCAACCTCCTGTGTCTGCCTCCCCAGTGCTGGGATCAGAGGTGTTAGCCCCCATGCTCTGCTCAGATTGTGCTGGAGAGTAAACCTTGGATCTTTTGTTAGGGAAGTGCTGGGGACCGAACCTAGGACCTAGAGCCCAGGCAAGTGATCTAATACTGAGTTACACAAACCCAACCCTTTTTTACTTTCAATTTTGAGACAGGGTCCTATTACTTGCCCAAGCTGGCTCTGTAGCTCAAGAAGGCCTAGATTTTGCAATCTTGCTCAGACTGACTCCCAAATGGTAAGAATACAGGTATATACCAACCACGCCCCGCTCAGTATCTATGTTAACTCTATGAAACACTCTTGCTATGTAGCCTAGGCGGGGTCTGAGTTCATGATCATCCTTCATCCACCTCCCCGAGTGCTGGAATCACAAAGTGTGCATCATCAACATTCAGCTTAAAAATGATTCACTTTATGCTGGGCGGTGGTGGCACACGCCTTTAATCCCAGCACTTGAGAGACAGAGGCAGTTGGATCTTTGAGTTCGAGGCCAGCCTGGTCTACAGAGTGAGTTCCAGGACAGCAAGGGCTACTCAAAGAAACCCTGTCTCAAAACAAACAAACAAACAAACACAAAACAAGGCTGGGAAGCAGTGGCACACGCCTTTAATCCCAGCACTGGAGAGGCAGAGGCAGAGGCAGGTGGATCTCTGTGAGTTCAAGGTCAGCCTAAGCTACATTAGTGAGACCCTATCTCAAAACAAAAAACAAAAACAAAAACAAAACCCTTAGCAAACAGACACACGAGTAAAGATTCCCTGAAAATCACCTCCTTTCTTTCCAAATCTACCCTACAGAGACGTGGGGGTTCTCACCTCCCACCTGTGGCACTGGACCAGCTGCCTGCCTGGAGGAGGAGAACAGATCCTGCCAACAGAGAAGCTGCTGAACAAGGGTGATAAAAACACGCAAAGCCAGACATGAAGCTGCTGCCACACCATCCTCTAGCTGACTGTCACACCTCTAGCTGTCTGTGACTTTGGGACAGGCCACTGCAAGTCTCCCTCTGCAACAGAGACTGGGCAAGCAGTGCCCCCTCTCCTCTCCCAACACCTGCAATGTGATAATAGGCCAGAGCTTGTCAGCACTGAGCCCGCTGGGACAATGAAGAGGACAGTGGGAGTCTCAGTGGTGCCAGCCAGCACAGTAGGGGGACCACAGCAAGAGGCGGACACGGAGTCAGAAACAGCTCCACAGTCATGCTGTTAATTTATCCAGCCTCTGGCCCCTAGCTGCAGACGAATTTCTAAACAGTCTTATAAAATAAGAAACACAGAGCCAAATACAGGGGTGAAAGCCATGGAGATCAGAGAAATAAGAATAGCCACCAACTAACCTTAGCCCACCACACCGCTGTTGCTTCCCAAGAGAACCGAACCAGCACTTCCTGTCTAACCTGTGCCTTTACTGCCTACCACCACCTGACTTTGTTTATAGCTAGCTGTGTCCTCTGATCTCCAGGCAAACTTTTATTTATTGACGTACAAATAAAATATCACCACACCTAGCTCTGTTCATTTTATCCAATGAGAGAAGAGGACTGCAGGAATACAACCCACAGCTGGACTATCTACGATGTGAACATACTACTTACAACCTAGAGAGCCCTGAGCAGAGCAAGTTGGAGGAGGTGCATCAAGACTTACTGCACTGCTAAAAACTTCATAGACTGGACATACCCCCAACACAGATATAGATAATTAAGAAAATAATAAAAACAAATCTTAAAAAAAAAAGCCAGGTATGGTGATGGAGGTCTTTGATCTCAACACCCTGGAGGCAGAAGCAGGTGGATCTTTATGAGTTTGAAGCCAGCCAGGACTACAGAGCAAGTTAAGACAGTCAAGGTACACAGAGAATCCCTGTCTCAAAAAAACAAAATCAAACCAAACCGAACAACAAAAACAGAAAAACCTTCACAGTCCATGGGTAACACACAGGACTACCCTTGAATATGGAATTTCCTGTCTGTGTGTGCACATGTCCTTGAATGCACATGTGGGGGCCGGAGGTTGACATCAAGTGTCTTCCTTTGGCATTCTCATCTTTTTATTTTTAAACATTTATTATTTTATGTATAAGAGTGTCTGTCTGCATGAATGTCTGTACACCATGTGTGTGCCTGGTGCCCATGAAGGCCAGAAGAGGGCATCAGATCCCCGGGAACTGGAGTTACAGACTGTTGCCATGTGGATGCTAGGAAACATACTCTGGTCCTCTGGAAGAGCAGCCATGCCGTCAACTGCTGAGTCACCTCTCCAGCCCCTTTCCCCTTATTATTTGGAACCCAGAGCTTACCAACTAGCTGAACTGACTGGAGAACAAGCCTTCAGGGTCCTCCTGTCTCCAGCTCCCTACTGCTTGGATTACAGGCCTGCACTGTGACATTCGGGTTTTCTCAGGAATGCTGGGCATCCAGTCTCAGACCCCAATGCTTATACAGCAAGCACTTTATTCCCCAAGCCATCTACCAAACCCCTAAAATGGTGATTTTTATGCAGATTTTACCACAAAACAAGACTTTTACTCTTCACAACTATCATTCATGGGGCCTGCAGGGAATATGGGTTTCATAGCCACAAGGGACAAGTCCAAGGACAGACAAACATCTGATTTAAGCTCCAGCTCCACAGAAACCCAGGTTTAGGCAGGTGGATCCGACTTTAATGGTGTAGGTGGTAGCAGACACCAGCTGGCAATGTGCTGGAACAGGCTGCCTGAAGTTGCTGTGGGCCCTGACACTTCCCTCAACCCCACAGCCAACCAACACCACCCACCAAGACGACAGGCTACTGGTCAGTACATTCTGGGACCAGATGGCTGGGTTCAATTCCCATTTGGCCATCTGTTTCCTAAATGGCTAACGGTTAGCAGTGGACAGAGGAACCTTGGTTTTTCCATCTGACCCTCCTGTAGGCTATGTTAAGAACTCATGAACAGAGCAGGTACCAAGTGAAAGGTCACGGCTCTCCCTGGAGGTACTGCAGTAAGCCTGGGCTTACCTTGCCACCGAGGATCCTCCCCCAGGATCTTCTCGATCATGGCCTGGCTGGCCAAGACCCCAGGCTGCAGATCAGGTACAGCATCCCCACTGCTGAGCTGGCCGTTCTGCAGGGCTTCCTGAGCCTGAAGCTCCCTGCAACCAAAAGCACAGCACAGCAGTTATGGCCTCAGAGTCCCTGAAGGTGGGGAAGCCAGCAGAACCCATGGCTCCAGAGCCACCCGATCTGTCCCTTCACTGGCACTACCTGGAGGTTTAGGGCCAAACTACCGTAGTGGCATCAAGCACAGCAGCCTTGTCTTGGGACACCAGTTCCATCTCAAATTGCAATTTTAGAGCTGGTTCGTTTACGAAGGATCTGCCCCACTCCCACCCCTATTTTAGACAGGGTCGATGTAATCCTGGCTCTACTGGAACTTGCTATGTAGAACAGGCTGTCCTGAAACTTAGAGGTCCGCCTGCCTCTGCCTCCTGAGTGCTGAGATTAAATGCATGCACCACCAACCCTGGCCTTTTTTTTTTTTTTAGGAGGAGGAGGAGAGGGGCTCACTCTACTGTAGCTCAGAATGTCCCGGTATTTACTAAGTCACCCTATATTGCAGATAGGGCTTGAACTCGTGGCAGCCTGAGCCTGACTTGGCCTCCCAAATGTTAGGGTATTAAAGGTGTAGGCTCAGAAAGGATCTACTTTCCACAGCAGCTGGGCACACATGATGTTCATTTGTCTAGACAGAAAGCATTACACCTCTGTCCCTATCTGTGTCTCACAATACACAAGGAAACAGAGAACAGATGAGGGGAGGCCAGGGATGGACCTCAGTTGGTACAGTGCTTGCACAGCATGTGAAACCCTGGTTTGATCCTTAGACACCATAAACAGGTACGGTGGCAAACTCTGTAATCTTTTTTTTTTTTTTTTTTTTTTTTGGTTTTTCGAGACAGGGTTTCTCTGTGTAGCTTTGCGCCTTTCCTGGAACTCGCTTTGGAGACCAGGCTGGCCTCGAACTCACAGAGATCCGCCTGGCTCTGCCTCCCGAGTGCTGGGATTAAAGGCGTGCGCCACCACCGCCCGGCTCAAACTCTGTAATCTTAGCACCCAAAGAGTGTCAGGAGGCCAGGCCGAGGCCAGTGTGGTATACACAGGAGATCCTGTACCCAAACAGTAACTAAATAAAACTGGGACTCGGAAACAGATGCTCTGAAACAAAGACCCCAGAAGCAGCAAGGGAGGAAGCCGGTCCTTAGGTAAGCACCCTACTCACCTGATGTCACACACAGGCGGCCGCAGGTCCAGGGGCCCGTGTGCAAAGGCACAGTGCAGACCATTCTTCACGCAGTGGCCCCGTGCATCTGTCTCATGGATACATGTGCCTGTCTTGTAGTAGCGCAGGTGGTACTTGCGCTCAGTGTCCCCAGTTGTTCGATGCAGGTAGGGACATCTGGGAAGCAGAGGGGTGAACACACAGACTAGTTCTTGTAGACTCGGAGCTGACCCTGCGCTCCCCCTGCCTCCCACTGGCAGAAGCTGCTTCTACACTGATGCACACCGAGGGCTGCTCTGACAGAAGGATGACATTACTGAATGAGTACCTGGCCCCACCACCTTTCCATATTTTACACCATGCACTGCTACTGGTGCTCGTCAGTTTTCTGTCAACTGGAAACAAGCCAGGGTCATCTGAGACCAGGGAACCTCAACTGAGAAAAATGCCTCCATCAGACCGACCTGTAGGCCAATCTGGGAGGCATTTTCTTGACTGATAATTGATGTGGGCAGTTCCAACCCTGGGCAGGTGATCCTGGATTGTGTAAAAAAGCAAACTGAGCAAGGTGGTAGTGGCGCCTTTAATCCCGGCACTGGGGAGGCAAAGCAGCACATCTCTGTGAGTTCGAGGCTAGCCTGATCTACAGAACACCGTGCCAGGACAGTCAGGGCTACAGAGGGAAACCCTGTCTCAAAAAAAACCAAACAAAAAACACAAAGGGGAAAAAAAAACCGCGAAGTGTTGCCGGGCGGTGGTGGTGCACGCCCTTAATCCCAGCACGCGGGAGGCAGAGCCAGGCGGATCTCTATGAGTTCGAGGTCAGCCTGGACTACCAAGTGTGTTCCAGGAAAGGCGCAAAGCTACACAGAGAAGAAACCCTGTCTTGAAAAAACCAAAAAAAAAAAAAAAAAACCGCGAAGTGAGCAAGCCAAGTGAGAAAGCAGTAAGAAAGACTGTAAGTAGAGTTCCCAAGGTGTCTGCTTCAGTTTTTGCCTCAAGTTCCCTCAGTGATGTGAAGTGTGAGCCAATTAAACCGTTTCCTCCCCCAAATTGCTTTGGGTCAGAATGTTTTATCACAGAAAGAGAAAAGCAAACTAAGACATTGTCCTTATTATCATTAATTACTATGCCAAAACTCATGAGATCACATAAAGACAGAGGCTTCTGAGTGGTGAAAAGGTACAGGCTTCTTCTTTTTTTTCAGACAGGGTCTCATGTAACCCAAGCCTGCACAGCCTCTACCCAATCCCCATGCTAAGATGACGACTACCACACCCAGTTTATGTGGTGCTAGGGATTGAACCCAGGGCTTTGTGCACATGAGGTAAACAATGAGCTGCACAGTCCCAGACCTTCACTGATTTTATTTTATTTACTTTTTAACGTATTGTTTGGATACCTTTAAGTCAATAGTTCACTTTTTTTTTTTTTCCTGGAAATACTGGGAATTGAACTTAGGACTGCATGCATGCTAGGCAAGTGCTCTATCACTGAACTACAGCTCCTGCCCTCCTTTACTGGTTTTTAAATAATGTCTTTTAGTTAATGTGGTAAACAAAGTTTAAAACAAAAACATCTCCCCAAGAAAAGGAAGAACTAATTTTATTACAAACAAGCATTAAAGCACAAGCCACAGAGTGATCTTGCTCTCTCTCGGAGTTAGACTACATAGGAAGCAAGCAACTCCAAATTGTGCCCATCACTTCTCTCAAACTGGGAACTAAACTCTCCTACCTGGTTTGTATTTTGAGACAGGTCTTCTATACACCAGGCTGGCCTCAAACTTGCTATCTACCCCAAGATGCCCTTTACTCCTAATTCTCCTATCTCAGCCTCCCAAGTGCTAGAATTACAGACAGATGCCACACCTAGCCTTTACCATTTTCTTTCTCTCTTTCTTTCTTTTTTATTTTTTTGGTTTTTCAAGACAGGATTTCTGTGTAGCTTTGGAGCCTGTTCTGGAACTAGCTCTCTAGACCAGGCTGGCCTTGAATTCACAGAGATCTGCCTGCCTCTGCCTCCTGAGTGCTGGGATTAAAGGCATGCGCCACCATCACCTGGCTATTTTTCTTTCTTAAGAAATGTTTTACTATACTGTTTATTTTATCTATGTGTCCAACAACTCCAGGAGTCTGTTCTTTCCAGGACTTAACCCATGATGTTTTTTGGTGGCAGGTACCTTTATCTAAGCCATTTCAACAGTTCTGAAGTTAATTTTTTTTTTTTTAATTTTTAGGCAGGATCTTACTATGTAGATCTGGCAGGCTCAGAACCCCTATGTGGACCAGGCTGGCCTCGAATTCAGAGATCTGCCTGCCTCTGCATCCTGAAATCGGGGATTAAAAGTGTATGCCACTACTCTCAGCCCTGAATAAAATTCTTAAATGTTCATTTTTGTCATACACACAAAATATCATCTTTCTGACAAGTTATTATTAGAGAAGTTAAGGGTAACCTCTGAGTCCACATCCTGGTGCTTTCAAGGACCCCAAGGAGGGGAAGGGGTTGGGAAGAGCCAAGGTAGGACCTGCGGCAAAATCGAAGAGACAATGCAATGTCACCCATGTCACAATCACACAACAGGCGCATGGTTATATACTCCCCAGAGAGTCATAAACAACCAGAGAAATACAGGGGAACAGAGCAAAGAGGCCTCATGCTGTGAGGTGTGTGTGTGGGTGTAGGGTGTGTGTGTGTGTGTATGTGTGTGTGTGTTGGGGGGGCGATGACAACGCTACAAACAAGTCCTGAAAATCACGAAATGGGCCTCACCTCCCTTTACAGCCCACATCTACGTTGCAGTGACCGGGGATGTGCCCATTCCAGTTGTCATTCATTCTAACTGCCATCCCATCAGAGAAAAAGGTGTGACATCACTCCAGAGGGGTAGGGAGAGAGGTCCCTACACGGCAGAGGCAATTCACCTACCCTTATCCATCCTCCCAATTTTACACTAAATTTATGTCCATTCTCATGGGGTTTGCTCTGACTTGTGCTGAGGGGCACCTTGCTTCTCTGCTCCAGGACCATTGCCATGGCAACCAGAGCCCAGTCTCAGATTTCTCCACAGAGCAGCTGCACTCCCACTGTCTAGCACTCTTTTCTGCTTGGCCAGGCAGTTGCTGCCCGCTACTCCATGACCTCAAAGCCTGAGCTTAGATCAAATATAAATAAAATGCCTTTAATAAATAAAAGGCATATCTTTGTTTGTTTTGTTTTTTTCGAGACAGGGTTTCTATGTGTAACAGCCCTGGCTGCCCTGGAACTTGCTTTGTAGACCAGCTGACCTCAAACTCAGAGACTCACAGAGATCCGTCTGCCTCTGCGTTCCGAGTGATGAGATTAAAAGCGTGCGCCACCACCACCACCTAGCCTGAGTTTCCATTTCTAAGACTTAGAGAAGCTTGTCTTATATCTCAATGGCTATGGCATGTGTCACATTCTTACCTGTGATATCTCCATGGAAAGACTCTTACTCATATAAATACTCATGGGGGACCAGTTGTGATGGTGCACACGTTTAATCCCAGCACTAGTCAGCTAGAGAAACACATATTTCTGTGAGTTCAAGGCCAGCCTAGTCTACAAAGCAAAATCCAGGACAGCCAGGGATACATAGTGAGATCCTGTCTCAAAAAATAAAGATAAAAAACTTGTAGGGCCTAGGGCTTAAGTGAAAGCTGGACTCCCTGTATGGTGAGTGTGAGCTGCGACTGTGCAAACTTTTTGCCATGAATGGGAGGCATGAGCAGGCTTGATGGCTAGAGTACCACATCTAAGAGGGAGAGGCAGGCAGATCTCTGAGTCTGAGGCCAGAGTGAGTTCCAGGACAGCCAGGGCTACACAGGGAAACCCTGTCTGGAAAAACCAACAACAAAAAGAAAAAAAGGGAAATTCTAGAGGCGGTAGAGGTGGCTCAGTGGTTAAGAAAAGGTACTGCTCTTGCAGAAGACTTAAGTTCAGTTCCCAGCATCCACATGGGGTACACAGCCACCTGTTAACTCTAGCTCCAGGGGGATCCAACATCTCTGGCCTCTGCGGGCTTCTGCACATACCAACACACAGACACATAAAAATAACTAAAACAGCTGAGTGGTGGTGGCACACACCTTTAATCTCACCACTTGGGAGGCAGAGCCAGGTGGATCTCTATGAATTCGAGACCAACCTGATCTACAGAGTGAGATCCAGGACTGCCAGGGCTACACAGAGAAACCCTGTCTCCAAAAAAAGAAGAAGAAATGGAAACCCAGCAAGTTACCAACAGTGAGGTTGTCTGAATAAGAACGGCCTCCACAGGCTCATATATTTGAATGTGTGGTCATCAGGGAATGGCACTACTTGAGAGGGATTAAGAGGTGTGGCCTTCACATTAATTAAAAAAAGCAATTAGTTAAAGCAACCTTTTTATTCCTGAACACGGGCTGTCTCCTGCTAAGGTATGATTTGAGCGGTCAGCATTGGATGTGAGGAAGACAATGCTTTTACAGCTCAGGGGTAGGGGGTTTCCAAATGGGGAATCTGGCAGACAAAATCGGGGCTACAGGAGAAGAACATAAGCATAACCAGTTAGTCCTGATGACCTCCTGAAACAAAGACATGGTTGCAAGGTGGGCGTAATGAGGTAGTCCTAACAGGTGGTCCTAACAAGGTGGCTATAGGTAGTCATAACCTTTTGAAACAAAGGTAGGGTGCAAGATGGTTATACAGAACTTTTTAAAACAAAGACATGATTGCCATTCCTGAACAGGCAGTCCAGAACTGGGAGTCAGAGATAGGAGACAGGCAGATCCTGATGAGTCTGAAGTCAGCCAAAGCCACATAGTAAGATGATGGATGGATGGATGGATAGATAACACACAGACAGACTTACTTTGCTTGCAGCCCCAGGAGCACCCATGCTGGATGAACGTAACCCCACTGCCTGCCCTAGATGCTGCCTAGTGGGTGTGGGCGATGGATCCACCACTAGCTAATTAGCTGGCCAACCTAAGCAGGCCATGTGGAGCCTGAAGGCTAGTTCCCACAAGGGCAAGGCCCACCACACATGACCCAGAGCAACTAATCGAGGCCAATACTGGCAAAATGTCATGCCCACCAGAAAAAAAGGGCAAGTTGTCATCCTGGATGGGATGAAGCAGGCAGTAGTACCCTTTGGAGCCAAACCTCCAAAT